TTGGAATACTGATTTATTGTACTAATAATCTACAGTACCTACTACCTAGTAATAATAGTTTTGTAATAAACCAATGTCCAATATGAATCAAAATAAATGTTCAATAAAAGCTATGCAAAATGTGAATATAGGATTAGGATATACCATACTGCGAACATAAATACTCACGTATTGTTATTACACATCTAATAAAAAATACACCCTATATATTATTAAAATAAACTAATATTATTTTCGTCGGCCAATTAGTGACAACTCAAATAATATATTATTATTGGAAATAGGACCGCCGCGCTGTTAACATCGCCGTCGTTATCGTCGTAATACGGGGAAAAATAATTAATACACATTAAAAATAACTACCCAAAATCCAAATATACCAATGAAATCACGAGATCCTACTGAATAACCACATATAAATATTGAAACGGTGCGTCTATAACCGATGAAATAATACACCCATAAAGATACATATAACATTTGTCGACTACGTGTCGACCGCGGTTCTAGTGACCCTGCAACAGTTGTCGACTACGTGTCGACCGTGGCACTCAACGTGTTAAGCACCATTTAATAGCTGTGTTTCTTTCTTCTTCGTTTTATACTTTTATATCTAATCTAATTCAATCTAACAGGGCGTGTCCAGCACAAAATAATTGGGTAGGCCCCTTTAGTTGTGTAGTTTGTTTACTCTACACCGAAAAGATTTTGCCTATTAAAAAATAGCATTATGGGTAGTACATTTTTAGGTTTTCAATTTTGACCAGTATACTTGCTGTATTTAGGTTTATTTTTTTATTTAATAATAGGCACTTAAAAATTAAATCATTTTCAACAATATTGGTTAAATAAGTACTAGAATAATATGTACTAAAATTTCCTGTTTAACAAATGGAAATATTTACAATCATTACAATATAATTATAATAAACAATTATGTTTGCTTTTTTACTGATATATGTCAAATTCTATCCCAAATCTAGTACTTCCAGTTTATACATACCAGGGCATATTTTGTAAATATGTGATACAAAGAGACTATAATATATTTAAAATGAATACTATTTTACAAATTTTAAAGTGGTATTTTATTTGAATTCAAATGGCAATAATAAATAAAGATTATAGGTAAAACACTTTAAGATTGCCTCTGTTTATAAGTATAAAGTACATATATCTAATTATTATAAATAAAATATTTTTATATGAATAAATGAATTATATTGTAATTTGTATAATGTATAGGTACTATTTAAGGAACATTTCTATATAATTTACCAATATGAAATATCCACTGAAGTAGAGGATTTGTCTGTATTTCCTATTTTTATTTTAAATTAAATTGTATTTTAATTTTTTATTTAGGTACACACAATTTAAAGAAAATAATAATTTCTAGACATTTTATAACCTTACACATACACACTCGCCTTGGTTTTGATAATGAGTCAATTCATTCATTTGATGGAACATGACAATTGTCAATGTTACCTATGTATTTGAAGTTTTTCGCTACGATGACCTCTTAATCCTATGTCTTGTCGAGCACAATAAAAAATTATCCTGATTATAGATGTAAGAACTTCTCGATTTTTTATTATTTGTTTTTTTGCATAGTTTTACATTGACTAGATACAGCACCATCAGATTTTGATTTAATATAAGCATGATACTTTTCCACTCATTTGATGAATATTACTACATTCGTGTTGAATTGTGGTGTTACATACATTTTTCCAATTATAATAACCAAGGCCAATGTAAACATCTTGTTTGGAAATATGGTTAATATTTAAGGCAAAATGCCGACAGTAAAAACAAAAGATTTTATCAAGTCTTATTGAGTATTCAATCCATGGTATTTTTAAATACCATGATGCGTTAAAGGACCTTAGTTTATTTGATATAATATGGCGAGGAAACTGCTGCAAAATCGGCTAAACCGGTTTCTGATCAGCATTTTCACTTATATCGCTTACATTGTACATACTTTTTTCTGGATCTTGGATATGAGTTGTAGTAGTACATAATATATTTGGAACTGGTGTGTTTGTGAAATTGTTTTCTAGAAATGTTTTTGAAGGAGGTTCATTAGGTTGCTTGGATATTAAAAACTGTTTCATGTTCACTGTAAACTGTTTTCTTAAAAACTAGAAATAAAATTGTAAAACTTAACCACGATTTTTCATAAAATCTATATAAAACTGTGATGCTAGAAACAACTATTATAGCTATTCACTCCTACACGCCGCGCCAAATCCGATATAGAAACAATGTATAGTGATAACTGATATAAAAATGCTTACAGGGTAGTTGTTCGAAAAATGATAAGAATGTCGAGTACGATAATTCTGAAATGTTGGCATTACCAACATAATGTTTTTTTTTTAACTAGTAAATAATTTGACATTTTAAATATGTGCTGCACTGAATAATTCGTTAGCTATTATTTATTACATAACATGGTCTTCTAAGACCGTGTTACATAATACAAATTATTGAACAATGAACTAGCTATTTTTAACTAATATTGTTCTTGACTCTTTAAATAGTCCTATTAGCTATTGCGTAATTTGTTGACAAAAGACCTAAGTTAGGTTAGGTAATTAAGATTATAGGTCTATTGTCTTTGGCATAGACAGAGAAAATACTAAAATTACTGTATACTGTATATAAAATTAGTAGGTATACTTGTCTGTGGAAACTAGGCCATTAGTTATTGAGATACATTTTTTTTTTTTTTTACTGGTTTACATTAGGTTAATGCTTAAATTAGGTTATATAATTGTATTTCTTTTAGGAAGTTGATTATGTTTATGTTTGATTGGAGATCAGGCTCAAGGGCTTCACTTAATTGCTGGTAGGCAAATTATTATGCATCCGGTACAAATAACTTTAACCAGATAAGACGGCCTTGACACGTGCTGTTATTAGAACCGAGATTACTAGTTTACAGCACCATAACCAAACCGTAATTGGAAGAGAAGATATATAATAACTGAAACTGTACCTTTGAGTGTCGAAACAACTGCCCACGAGGGAAGAGTTTTTAGCAGACTGACTCAACAAGAACACTAGTTTGTTAGCGCATTTATATTGTTAAAACGGAATAAAAATCACAAAAAACGGATAACTATTTCTCAAGTAAAAAGAAAATAATATGGAGCAAACTATTCAGTTCTGCACACTGTAATATTACTGATGTTAACTATTACCTACTGAATTTTAAATGCTTATAAAAAAAAATTGTGCCTATGTATTTTGAATATTTTTCAACTGCTAAAGTTACAGTATGTCATGTGCCTTGTTTTAAATATTTACAATTTTGGTATCGCTGGACCCATTGATTAAGTCCCTCTTCCGTCCTTCAATGTAGGGCTTCAAACTGTTCCAATCAGTATTATTGGCATTCAATTTGGCCATCATTTGTTGGAGTATTGATTGGACACTCTGTTCTGATGTAGGTTGTTCGGTGACTGAACATTTTTGCTGAGTAACGGAAATAGTTAACACAGACATCGAAGAAACCATGGTTGTACTCGTGGTCGGGGTAGTGGGTATCGGATTTGACGTAGTAGTATTCGTAGGTGGCCCCCGGTCGGGGGAACAAGTCTCTCACTTGCCAGCTTCATACATCAACGACGAACAACGAAAACCAGGCAGCCAAAACGGAAAGTAATTTCTAATTTGTAATGAAAGAAATCACGAAATAAATATGAATAGGATCACAATTTCAGACAAATATAGATTACAGTTTTTCAAACGTGAGACGACCTCGGACAAAAGTAACTCGTATATGAATAACGAGGAAACAAAAAAACAATAAAACAACGGATATCGATTTCGATAATAATAAAAATTTAGAAAATATTATGGATGAATATCATCCCGGTACGTCGGGAGTATAAACGTGTCATTTCTTAAACTTTTCAAAACATAATCTTAAATCTTATTTTTGGTATCTACAATTATACTATTCATTGCTTGTGATAATAATATTCTTAATTTTATTGTTATAACCCATCATATTTATTTGTATAAAACAAGTATTAAAAATAACCATAGACATTATTCCCGTACGGACCATTGACGGACCATTGACCATGGACGACTTGTTTCTAATAATGGTTATTAATAGTTTAATTATAGTAATAATTTTGCCCATTTTTCCAATCCACTACGATCTATGTATAGTCTACAGCCTTGTAAATTAATACGAATGTATGAATAAATAAAATAATACAATAGTAAATTACTGAACTTTTCATATCTGACATATTCACTTGGGCGGCCAACTCTTCCTATGCTTTCTCCGTCACATCTTTCCTGGAATACCCAGGGAGTTAATTATTATACAGTTCTTTGTGCTTTTCCACCTCCCCAACTAACTTTAAATTTTGCTCCTGGTCACTCATGTTCACAAAAAAACCAACAGAAATGAAACGGAATATATTATACAGGCTAGGATTTTGAAAAAAGTGCATGAAAATAAAAACGTGGTTTGGTGCAACTTATAATTGCAACGCAACTGCGACCGCGGAAAACGATTGTGTGACAACCGATTTTAAACTGATTTCAAACTAATCACATTTTGATAGCCTCGTGTGCGGATGCCACAGATAACATTTTCAATATACAGAATAGGGAAATCCGTCATCAGTAATCACTAAGGAAATCCATTTTCTTTTATCATAATACTATTACCTACCAATTACCTCTTAATTTAAATTATTAAATAATTTGTAACAATTTCCGTGATTCTTAAGTATTTTTAAAATAATCAATCAACAATAAGTACCTGTTTTATTTCCTAAACTATAAAATCCATCTTTTGTAACTTCCAAAAGTCAAAACACATGCCAAAATACTATGAGCTTATAAAACTGTTGTAAAACCGTGATTGAAAATACGAGGTAACAGCTTTGATGTTAATACTTAGATAAACCTTGTATAATAATCGAACACTTTTTTGAGGTAACAGTTTCGATCAGATTGTAGTAATGTTGAAGTCCCCAACTCAAGGTCAACCTTTGAAGTTACAATCAAAGTATCATGAAAATTCTCTTAAAGTGATAGAAAAACTACCAGGTGACACTTACCGGGTAATCGCGATAGATAGTGCCAGAGAGACAGTCAACGTACGCCACAACGGCAAATTTATCACAACTCAAATCGTGGAAGGTGACAACGACGTTGGAATTGATGATGATTCGACGCAGGGTCCTCAGTTGTCAACCGAGGAAGGTGAAGTAGAGGGGTCAACCAATAACGACAACAACATCGACATTGACGCTATCGAGGAATATTTGCTAAAAAAATTATCAATAAAAATCTAAAAAGACAAAGTATAATGTTTGGGCCCTGTAAACCAAATATCAAACTTCCTGATAATTCACCTATATACTATAATAACTCTGATCCCAAAAGACGTACATTTTCTTCAGAATTTTTGTTACAAATCCCACTGGCATTAAAATACCAAGGCTATGGCAATGCTATTCCGTTGCCCTAAATAAAGCTTATTGTGTAACCGGTTGGCTGTTTTCAGATAGGAAAAATCCCAAGTTAAAATTAAATTGGATAAATGAAATAAATGATTAGCAGCATATATCTCAAAAAATGCAAGTGCATGAATTATTTACCCAACATATTATTGAAGCTATTAAATTACCAGTTCTTTGGGTAACAAATCAGAAGATTGATAAGAAATTTGAAGAGCACATTTAAAAGGTCATTTTTTTTAATTTTTTTTTTAACTTCTGGGAACACTGCTCTTCGTGGAAATGAAGGAAAAAGTGAAAATTTAGGAGATGAAGGTAATATTTTACGAATTAAATGATTACTATCTGATTTTGATGCCGTATTAAATAAATTATTGCATAAAGAAGAAACTCGAACCAAATACTGAAGTTGGAAGATTCAAAGTTGATATATTTATTAGCTTCAAATATGAGAACAATTATATGTGATGAAGTCAGGTCTGCTTTGACAATTATTATGGACTGAACTCAAGATGTAACAAAAATCTATTAAGTTAGTTTTATATTACGCTATGACGTGGTTGTGAATCATATTGATCGTACATTTCAATTAAAAGTGTCTTTTTTAGGATTCTTTACATTAGATAAACATTTAGTAGAAAACTATGTTAATTGAATAAGTGTAAAGGACCAGGCTATGGCAGCATAGCCGTCATGAATGGAATTTATTTAAAACGAAGAGAAGTATCTGTCTGCTTTTAAAGTTCTAAAAGAACTAATTGGTTCATCTGGATTTGGTGGTTAAATTGAGCCTGCAATTTTTATGGTGGAAATAAAGGCTTTGAAATTATGTTATCCAAATTCAACATAACTGTTCAGTACAAAATACGTGGCTTACACACGCACACGCACGTGCGTATCTTTACTATCTTTACCCGACCGCAGCTGATCAGTGCCGTCGCCGACACAGCTGTTTTCGAGACGACCAACCGTTGCCGCTGATCGTATCAGCGATAACGATTGTGTTATCTAGTGTATATACGCGACTTCCGTTCCGTTGACCGTCGTTCGTTCTCATGCTCGCACAAAAAATTTACCATGTCGTTGTTGTCTCTCGCTTTTTTAGCTTTCTGTTGATGAAAGCTAACGAGTGCGAACCTTGGCTCTCAAATCACGTCTTCAGCCGCTCTTCATTAAGTGGTCGGTTCGTCGGCCCCTTTTCTAGAATTCGTCGTCTCGAACCAGTGTGATCCGACCGTCAGCTTCGACGTGCCGCTCACCGTACCCGATCAAACATGTGTCATTGTGCCGTGCGACGAAATTATCCGCTATCGACGTTCCGTTAAATTATTTTGTTTGTGTTTGAGCGCCATCCGACTTACATGTGCTGGAGTTCTCCCGGTCTAACCGGAGAACTCGCAGATAACATCGTCGCACTCTTGTTATTTTGGTGTGTTTTTTAAACCCAGTGTATTGTGGTCGTGAATCTCCGTCGCACTCCACGCACGTGCAAATCTACGACACCGCCTTCCACCTCACCAGTCATCATCAGCCAGCCGTCCAAACAATTTACAGCGTCATCGTCCGTGTGTACCCAGGTCGACCAGGTCGTATTCATCATGTACTTAATATTATGGATACACCTGTGTTATTCATGTTATTTGTTAATTAGTTTAATAAGGGGTTACATGAGTAATTTAGTGGTTCGAACCTTCTTTCACTTTGATTGTCAACATTATATATATTTTATTTTGTTTGAACATATTATTTGGAGTTACACATTATTTTAGATATATATTTTAACTTTCTGCCTATTTCTATCTTCCTTATACAGTCCGCTGGCAAAAAGGTAATGTGTGCTGCAGCCCACTCGCACACATTTTATGCACATTTCATATACTCCAAGCAGTATGGCGATGGCTATGGAGTAGTAAAAATAACATAAATCCAAATGATAGTAAACATTTGATGATTTTGTTTCGGCATGTTTTGTATTCTTCCAACGAAGTCAATTGTGTTTCAGAGAATGAACAATTAAATAAGATGAAATTGTACAGAAGTTAAAAATGCTAAACTTTTTGATTATTAGCGATTCTCTTAGAGTCCTAACAGCACTAAAAAACCAATGATGAGATCACTCAAATTACCCAATCTGAACTAATCAACACCCAGAAAACCTTTGAATTTATGTGGGTGCCCTCCCATGTAGGAATAAAAGGTCGTTAATGGCCGACGAAGCATCCTACCTTGCCTCTAATGTTCTACCCAACAGCACCATCGACAAAATATCATCCTATGATATTTTCAAGTCCGTCAAAAATAAAATCTTTTTGTCATGGCAACACCACTGGGACTCCATTCCACCTACCAACAGACATAAGCACATAAAAAGTTCTGTGAAACAGTGGTATACACCTCCAGACCTCAGCCGACGTCGAGATATTTCGATCACTCGTATAAGAATCGGCCACACTTTCCCTACACACTCCTTCCTAATCAGCAAAGATCATCCACTTACATCAAGGCACGTACTCCAAGAATGCCCCACATACGAACCAGTACGCATGTCTCTCAACTTCCCGCATAATATCAAAGAAATCCTCGACGAAGGACAAACTCTAAACATTATCAAGTGCATCACTATATGCAAACTCTTCAACAAATTCTGACTCAGCCAATCTTCCTTGTAAATACAATTAATACTTTAACTGTAAATATATAATTTCTTTTCCTTCTTCTCAATTGTATACGTATTTAAATATCAAATCTGTTCTTTGAATTAAAAAAAAAAATTTTGGCTATTGTTATTAAATTATGTAGTATACCTCGTGTATGAATGATATTCAATTTTTGTAATTTTAGAATCCGTTTCGTACTGTGAAGTTATATCTAAAATATCACTTTCAGGCATTCTGCTTTAATTTTTAACCCAGAGCTTTTAAATTTTTTTATTCTGCACCGTCAATTTTTTTTATTTTATTCGATGTTACTGGTTGCACTTTAGTCTTATGACTAGTTGAACTGATCCGAAGTAGTGGATTTATATCGAATTTCAATCCCATCTCAAGGCTCGGGACGTCTAATATGTAACACGATTGTTAATGTCTCACCAAAATTATCAATCGGATTATGATCTTGATCAACTAACTGAACGGTTATCGAATCAATATTTGTTTTATTCAATTAATAATATATTAAATTTGGCGGTGACTTAATTACTTTAGATCCTGTCCTTTCACTCGGGAAAAATTCGTAAATTGAATGACTTTGAAGATGGTTGCTGAATGATCCTTGAGCTATACTGCACATTACTTTTATAGAATTAATTGTGTTTAAATTCACAACTTTTTCCGATCGATGATGTACGAGTCTTTCATAATCTGGCTTATATACTCGTTTTTCAAAACCCAATACAGGTGCTATGCTATGTAAAATCTCAAAGTGAAGTATTCCATTACATTTTATATTTGATCTAAAATCGTGAGGATCAACCGAAATGTTAACTTGGTTTTGAATATTCCATTATATACAACTATTTGCTTTTTAACTCAATGCTTAATATCTTCAATTTCATAGCATCCCTCTTCCAATTTGATATAACACATCATAAGATCATTATTATTGTTATTGTCGACTACTTGTATACCAAATTTATTATTATTTTCGTTAATATTCGGGAATGAATTAAATGTCCGCAAAAATAATAAAGCTATTTCTGAGTCCTCGTAAAGGTTTATAGACGGAAAATAATTTGCAGATAATATGGTAGTATTCCCGGTCAAACTAAGTAACCGACTCGTATATTACATTTGTTTGACTTGATTTTTTTAACAAACTATTTGTAATAATTATTTGTCAATTTTAATAGTAAAATGAAATACACTTATGACTTATTTTAATATTATATACCTACTGATTTTTCAAAAAAAAATATTAATAATAATAATTGGATTTCGCTTTCTTTTCCATATGCTCTTCTTTCATTCACTTTTTTATTCATATGCTATTTTTTCACTTTCTTTTTTATACATGCTTTTTTTTCCTAAACTCGGCTAATATACTGCGCTTATTGTGAATTTATATGGTGTATATTTATTCTTTCCGAGATAATACGGTCATTGAGTATACTTTCCTGATTTCTACGGTCCATGACAATAAGGTCCGATTATTTTTTGAATTCCTGAATTATACGATCTGACATTATTAGGTTTGCGTGTTTATTTTTTCCGGATTTCTACGGTCCTATACTATACGGTTTACGTATTTTTTTTTTCCTTGAGAATACTTTCCGATATTGGATTGAACGGGTAATCATATTTTATTTTTTAAAATTGAAATATGTGTCGCAAATCCAAATAAGATAATTGATTGTATTTATATATATTCTTCTACTTGATTCATACTACAAAAAGGTGACAATCTTCAAGAGAGGTAAGCTTTTACATATTAATGTTAAATAAATTTGATTTATAAACCTAATTTTATTGTTTTATATAGTGAGTTGAATGTTAAAAGTTATTGGGAGAGCTTGATATTTAGGACTTTTGAATTAAACTTATAATATAATATTAGACGTATAACTTATAATTCAATAAATAATAATTTACTTTCAAGATTCTTAATATTCAATTAATTTAATTAATTTTGTATTATTAAATGTGTAAAATGAACATCAAAAGGTTTCTTAGGTAACATTTGTTGAACAAACTTTTGGTTAATTCCATCACTGTTGAATCTAATCATTTTATATTAAATTAGTTGAATGTTTTATGTTTATCATAAGCAATTCTTTGAACATATTGAAACATAATATGGACTCTTCAAATGCACCTATAAGTGAAGAACCATGTGTTGTGTTCCCCTGGGTAAGAACATCACTGTAATTATTTAATTATATTATATGTTATTGCTGTTATAAGAAAATAAAATATTTATGTATAGGAACCTTGTTATAACAATGAAATGCAAATAAAAGATTCTTTTGAAGATAACTATCTTGACCATTTAAGCAATTTAAAAATTGAATCAAGTTCGCTTCGATCGGTTGTCCTAATCGGTCTTGTGTTTCGATTAGTGTTCAGTGCGCTCTCTTATCTAATCTTTAGGCAATATTACTTCGATAATAATGTCTTGTGGCAAGTGCAATACTGTTATTTCCCCAGCTAAATCGGCTGTGTGTATTACATGTGATACAAGTTATCATCCGGTATGCACTAAACTTAAAACACTGACAAATTACAAAATCAATAAAGATTTCTGGAATTGTGATCTTTGCTTGAGTAAGTTGAAAAATATTTCTACTCGTAATAAAAAAACTGATATTTCATATGTGGACGAATCCGATTTAAATTATGATCTTGACTCAGTAAAAACTGACTTTAGAAATGTGTTACAAAAGATTGAAGCACTTTCCAAAAAGATAGTAACTATTGAAACATCGATTAAGTTTTGTTCTGATTCTATTGATGATTTTAGTTCAAAACTAGAATCGGCTGTTAAAAAAATATCGGTCATGGAAAATAAAATTGAATTTTATGAACAAAAATGTAATAAACTTGAGAAAGAAGTAAATTTTCTCAAAGGCAATATTTGTAATGCTGAACAAGCTTCTATGATCAATAATATTGAAATTTCTGGAGTTCCAAAAACTGCAAATGAAAATGTGTCATAAATTGTAAAAAAAATAGCTAACGTTGTAAACTATGAAATTAAACCTATCGATATTTTACATTCATTTAGAGGAAAGTCATATAAAAACAAAGATGGAAATATTTTTGTGCAGTTTTGCTCAAAAACCGTAAAAGATTCATTATTAAATAATATTGTAATATACTGGTGGCTCCAACAGCTACTAGTATATTAACAGTTGCAGGCAACTAGACCTTTTACTGTGAAGATGAGGTAGTCGTTGCATAATAATAACACAAATGCCAAAATTATATTGTTGTTTATTAAGTTCCAACAATCACAATGGTGCTAAGTCCAAAAATGACAATCGTTATATGGAGCTGCGTGAAGGTGCTTGCAGTAGCGTTGAGTGTACACGTCTGAATGCAGGCTTTGCTTTGCTTTGCTTTGGGAGGGGTGGCTATGCCGTTTACTATTCCAGGCTTGTGCCTCTACTAGTGGATGGATTTTGGGGTTGATTGGTAGGTTCAGTTATGTAAGTCAGTCCAATTTAATGGGTATGGTTTGAGTAAACGTATGGTGGTTGGAGGGGAGTGGGTTTTACCTAAGAGGCGGATATGATCGTATTCGGAAAAAGAGTTATTGTAGAACATTGTTTTTGATTGAGAGCAAATGGAATTTTGGATAGATTTGAAGTTGGCTGATTTTAAAAGGACCGAGTTTCTAACGATAGTGGGCATACCGGTTATCGTGCGTATGCCGATGTTTTGGACGGATTCAATACGTCTCCAATGGGAGGGACCGATAAAGGGTGCCCAGGAAGAGCCAGCATATGTAAGTATAGGGGTCACGTAGAGTTTAAGTATGTTAAGTTTTGTTTTCAGCGGAACGGGACTAGTACGGTTAAGTAAGGGGTAAAGCATACCACGGACGCGGGTAGCTTTTTTGGTTACGTCTTGAATGTGTTGGTTGAATGTAAGTTTACGTCCAATCGTGACGCCTAAGTATTTGGCCTGTTTTGACCAGTTAACGGGTTGGTTATCGATGGTTAGAGGTGGAATGTGGGTTGTATTAGAACGCCCGAAGAGGACGCCTACTGTTTTGGTCGGGTTTATTTTGATTCGCCACCTGTGGAACCAGTTGGACGCGAGGTTGAGTTGGTGTTGTAGTTGTATGGTTGCACGTTTGGGGTTTTTATTACTAGTAAAGAACATCGTGTCGTCAGCGAAGAGTGAGAGGTTGGCTTTAGGAGTCGTTGGAATGTCGTTAATGTACGTCAAGTATAGCGTCGGTGAGAGACAGGAGCCCTGAGGGACTCCTGCGAGTACGTGTCTGGTAGTAGAGAAGGAGTGTTCAATTTTAGTGGTAAAAGTACGGTCGGTGAGAAAGGATTGGATGATTTTTACGATTTCTAACGAGATGTTGAGTTTGGAGAGTTTGTAGAGTAGGCCTTCGTGCCAGACGCGGTCGAATGCTTTCTCCACGAGGAAGACGGAAGCAGTGTTTAAGTCGTTGTTAAAGTTTTCGCTCAGTTGGTGGGTGAGTTTGGTCAGTTGTAGTGTGGTCGAGTGTTCGGGTCTGAAGGCGAACTGTTCGGGACGGATTTTGTTTTTGAGTTTGTCTTGTAGGTGGGTGAGGATGAGTCGTTCGTAAATTTTGGACAGGGAGGAGAGGAGGGCGATTGGTCTATAGTTTTCGGGTTGTTTATGGTATTTGCCTGGTTTGGGAATGGAGATGATGACTGCTTTTTTCCAGGCAAGGGGAAAGTAGCAGATTCTGAAGGCGCTGTTGATGATCCGAGTAAGGGACAGTATAACGTTGTTCGGTAGGAATTTAAGAGCCGTGTTGGTGATGAGGTCGTCACCAGGGGCTTTCTTTTTGCGAAGGTTGCGAATTATGTCTTGTATCTGGCCGGGAGTGGTAAAGAGGTTAGATCGGGTGATGTCAAGGCCTTGTAGGTACTGGGAGTGAGCGGTTACGTCTGGTAAGTCGGGGCCGGGGTTTGTTTGAAATTGACGTTCGAGCGAGTCGGCTATCAGCTCTGCTCGTTCGTTGGCCGGAAAAACTAGGCCGTCGGGGCCGGTTAGTGGGTGAGATGCTGGACGTTTGTGTAAGAGACATTTGTTGAGTTTGTATATTGAACCGTCTTGGTGGTCTAGTGAGTTAAGAAAGATGTCCCATTGGTCAGTATTGTGCGTTGCGAGTAAGGTACGTATGAGAGATATTTTGGCGTTTAGTTGTCGTTTAATTGTCGGGTCGCGGTTTATTTGCCATTCTCGGCGTATACGGTTTTTGTCTTGTATTTCCAGTTTAATGTAGTCTGGTACTACAGTGGACGGGTGTTTGCGTGTCGGTACGTATACGCTGGATTCAACCGCTTGTTGGATATGTTTTGTGAGGTTTTCGATTGCCAGGTCGATAGACTCACGGTCGTTGGTCGGTTGAGTGGTTGAGTTCGGTAAGTTCGCGAGAGTTGTCGTGTATTTTTTCCAGTTAATAAACCGATTCGTAACCGGTTTAGAAGAAGAGATCGGAGTGCAGAGTGTATCTAGAAGAATGGGGTTGTGGTCGGAAGATAGTTCGTTGAGGTTAATGATTTGGGTTTGATAGGGTAGTCGTACGAGGGCGATGTCGAGTATGTCAGGTCTGTATCGTGTGCATGTCGGGAAATGTGTGGGAGAAGAGGGAGCAGTTACAGAGTAGTCCGATTGTTGTGCGTGGTCAAAGAGGACACGGCCGGCAGCGTTAGTCGTGTGGCTATACCACAGCGGATGTTTGGACTGAATGCAGGCCATTTCGGGGTTCCTCTTATAGTTTGGTCCCCGCTCCCCTTGCCTAGTGATACGGTATCTTTGTTCCAGCGGATGTGGGCTATGTGGCCTTCGACCTAACTACGCATTTGCGAAATTGCTAATCTATTACCCTCATTATTAATATATATATTGTATGCTAGTTTGTGAACTGTCAATTCAATAAAATCATCATGCTGTTTTATTTTATATTATATTTCCTTGTAAAATAAAGCTATCGCATATAATATATATATATGTTATATATGTTATAATATGTTATAATATATGTATAAATATAACACCCAAATATTCTACATGATTGCAAACCCGCACTGGTCGTGTAATATTATTTCAACCAGGAAGGTTAATAAGTTTTGTTTAATACATCTGCCCATTACCTATCTACCTATATTATGTTAAGTATGCTACCCGTCGAGACTTCGAATGTTGCGTAGTAACTTGCTTACTACATCTCCCCCTTTAAAAGTTCATTTTTATCGTCTAAACGAGAAAAATTAACTCAATTTAACTTTTTGTTAATTTCCGTTACTTCAAGCACCTTCCTATAGAAAAATTTTACATACATTAATTATTACATTTTTATGTTTACATATGTTTGCTTACAATTATATGATTTCGATACATTATTGTTTACAAATATTTCACAATACCGTCAATCGAGGTGACTTGGAACGATTTTGACATATTTCTTGTTATTCTGAGCTTAAAAAAATCGCACTGGACTACAAAAAATACATAAATGTTTGCATACGTCTCATGAATAGGATAAGACCTTTCATTTAGTTTTTTGACCAAAACTGAACTTAAAAAAAAGTAAAAAGTACGTGTTCCAAGTCACCTCAATTTTTGGGTGACTTGGAACAGCTATGAAAATTGAATGTGAAATTCAATTCAAGAACGTTAGAGGTGACTTGGAACAAAATTTTTATTTTAAAAATTACCACAAGAACATGTTAAATAAATATTAAAAAGAAACAGTTTAACTTTACCTTTTTTTAACAGTAAACTAAATATTTAAATACCTAATAACATGATAAAAACAAAATAAAAATTCTTTCTAAATAGAAAAACATAACTAAATAGTTCTTCAAAATAAACACAAATACATTTGAAATATCATCGAGGGCCTGTTAAAGTGTTTCGTCACTGTCATTTATATATGTCCGGCTACCCGGTACACGCTCGTATTTGTTTGGCATTTTTGGTGTTCCAAGTCACCCTCAATTTTCTTCTGTAAAATAAAACTTAAGTTATAAAATTAGAAAAAAATGTTTAAGGACTTATAACTACAAAAGTCTGCTTTTAAGGTGTCCTTTAATGTATAAAAAATATACAAATCTTTAAATTTGACTTCAATCACCAACATTTGAAGCACTTTTGAGAGCAATGATAAAATCGTTGTTATCATAAGAAATGTTTGGTTATTTTTTTTCGGTGGTGTGGTAATACCCGCGCGTTACCACTGTTGTGGTCCGAAACGTGGTTCGGGTGCGGCGACGGATATTACTAACGTTTTATTTACCAAAATCAGAAGGTTTAAAGAAGGTAGGTAGTTAATAATATAACAACAGTTTCGACGTACGATCGGAGTGTATTATTTAGACACAAAAATAATTAATATACAAAAATGACATATATCAGTTAAACGGGTAAGTATAAAAAAAGGCGAGTCGTCGAGACGTGGGGCTGCTCGAGTTGAGAGGTCGAGAGCGAAAAAGCGAGTGACGAGAGTAGCGCGCGACGGCGGCTTCGAGCGCGTAACGGCGAAGTCGCCGCGAGAGGCGGGAGAAAAAGTCGAGCGGCGAGTCGTCACGTGACCAAAGACGGTACATAATTTTTATAATAAAATTCACAGAGATAATAAATAAAACGAATACAATATAAATCACATGACGAATACAATGTAAAAAATGGTTATTCGAAAAAGGGCGCGCTAGCGTAAGTGGTGATAGCGCGTCGGAATCACCACAGTGGTAATGATAAGACCAACCACATGGTTGATGATAACATTTATTATCACAAATATTGTAAATTTAATTTAAATGCAGGCAGCACGATTAAAGATAGTATGGTTGCGTGACGACGACCAAAAATGCGGCGATAGAAGTGCTTAAGTCTAAACTGACTGCCTAGTGCTGCTATCTAGTAGTTAAATGTAGAAAATACGAGTTTTTACATATAACCACTAGATATGTAATTACTAATTCATTGTCTCATACTGTCATACGTC